AGTGCAGTAAAATGTTTACACGATAAAGGAATAGTTCACAGAGATTTACATTCAAGTAACATCCTTATACATCATGGTTCAATTAAATTAGCAGATTTTGGATTAAGCAAGCGTATCGGAAATAGTAATACCAATAGAAGTAAATCAAAGGTAGTCGGTATACTTCCATACATTGATCCAAAAAGATTTGTTGGTGCATTAAATGCGAAAAGTGACGTTTATAGCGTTGGTGTATTATTGTGGGAATTATCTAGTGGAAAAAAACCTTTTGATGGTTTGGAAGATATTAGTATCGTATTGGCTATTAGACTTTTGCTTGGAAAAAGAGAAAGTATTGTAGTTGGTACACCTGAAAATTATTCCAACCTTTATAAAAGTAAGTGACGATAAATTTTAAAACATATTAAAATGATTTTAATTTAATTTAATTTAATTTAGAATGTTGGCATAAAGACATGGACGAAAGGCCTACAATTCAACAAGTCGTTGAAACTTTAAAATCAATGATTTCATCACCAAATTCAACTATTGTTGATTCAAAAGAAGAAGTGACGATTATTCCTTCTCCTGTTGAACCATCACAACAACCTAGTTTAGATTCAAATGAGATTTCACTATCAAAAATATATAACCTCATTCATAATTTGGATCAATTCGATATCAACGTTTTCAATGATTATTACTTAATGGAAGGAAATTTGCCAGATACGACAAATTTGAGCTCAAAGACAAGCCCAAGCAATGGTTTGAATGAAGCCTTAATAAGTAATTCTAAAATAAATAATAAGATGGTAGAAGAATTGGTGGAATCGTTTATTAATACGACGAATGAAGGGAAATCTCGTGATCAACGACGTTCTATCCTCGAAGCTTACTTGACAGATCATGACGTCACCATCAAAGAAATTTATGGATGGCTAATTAAAAATAGGGAATTTTCAAATTCAAATTTTATATTTTTCGCAGGATATTTAAATTTTTCGGGGATTGGAACGACGTTAGACATCAATAAGGCATCTAATTATTTTCATCAAGCATCAACGCAAAATCATGCTATCGCTCAATATTATTTAGGAATTTTTTATGAAAAAGGTTTTGGGGTTAAAAAAGATGAAAATAAAGGATTTTGTTATTATGATAAAAGTGCTAAACAAGGTCAAAGTTCAGCGGGTAAGTTTGCGTTAGGAATGTGCTATGAGAAAGGCATTGGAATTGAAAAGAATAAAGAAATGGCTTGTTATTGGTATCAACAAGCGGCGAATGATGGTCATGCTATCGCAAGATATAAACTTGGGTACTTTTATC